TGTAAGCTGTAGTAGTGTTGTGGTGGTTGCATCACATGCCTTGGTTCCCTGAGGTTGCAAGTTCGAAGGCCAACTCTGCTGCTGTCAACATGTCACTTGCATTAGCTTTAGCCTTTGTCTAGTTCTTTTTCAAATTTGTATTTGGTCAACTTGGTATTAGATTTTTATATTTTCTACCATAATATATTATATCCACATCTTGTAGGCGTTAGAGCTCTCTCTACTGTCACCGAAGGGAATGAACAATTAGAATTAAAAGGAGCATCACATGAATGCTATGCTAATAGAGTTTGTGTTGTAAATGTAGTCTGACTGCAGGGTGAGTCTGGAGATGGTTAATAAAGTTAAACACTGTACAGGAAAAGTCAACTATCTGGACAAAATGCAAATGTAGCATTTTTGAGTTTTCAAATAAGACAACTTTGAGGCAACAACTAAAACCTCAGGTAAATTTTGGATCATTTAATCATCATTGGTATTTGTTTATGCCCATTCCAATGGCTATAGTTGCACTGAATGCACAGTACTTTAAAAAAGTGGTGCAATGGAGCTTATATCCTGTCATGCATTGTTACTTTTCTCTCTCTTCGTCTGGTTCTTGATTTTCTACTATATTTTTCACAGTTGTCATTTTTTTAAAATATTGTCATTCATTTGCTGTAATTTTTAAATGTCAATAGAATTTTAATGAAGGCAGGGAGGAGAAAACAGTTTTAAGAAATTATAACTGAGTCTGTTAACAAAATATTTCTTATTATGTATGCATGTCAACTAATTAACCTTGTAGAGTATTTAAAAATAATGTGTTTACTTTGTGCTTCTTTTGCATTTAACTTCTGTGTCTACCTTGAGTTTATTTGGGTGAATAATACCTTGAAAAACTCACATTCACATTTGTGCATAAATGGGTTTTCAGCATGAATAGGAAAGTTTTGGAGGTCACATGTTAAACCAATGGAGTGAGAAGCCGAACATATTTCTCTTCTTAGAAAAAGTATTGAGTTGTCCATTTAGACTGTGGTGTATTTTGCTGTAAATCTCAGCTCTGGATGTTGATCTTGGAGAGCTGTGAAAGTCTCTGTTACACGTCTATTTATGTCCCGTGCCAGAGTTTTTAATGTATGCCTTCTACTATAACTGTGGGTTTGAAAATACACCCATCAACCTGGACTCCACCTCCTCACCCTGTGACAACACTCAAACAGAAGGAGACCAGGATTCATTTACTAGTTTGATTTATAGATTTAAATATTTCAGATGATCTTCAACAGGCAAACCCCATACAGAAGCAGAGGTGGGTACTAAGTAGTTACATTTACTCATGTGTATTTACTTAAGTAATTTGAGTGTAGCAGTACTTTTACTTGAGTCAAAGTTACTCTTCACACTGAGTAAGTGTGGAGCTAACTATATTGAAAGCAGTTTTCTTAGTTTTTCTTTGTCTTATGATGACAAAATGAAATGAGTTGATCATTCATGTTTCTTACACCGCTCCCTCATATATGATATACTTTGCAATTTTTTTGGATCTATCTTCGAATAAAAATGCATGCAACTTTTGTAAATGTGGTAAAATCTAAAGTCTTGTATAGCCATTTTGCAGCACCTACTTGTTACACCTCAGAGCTCCTCAGCCAGCGGGTCACCCCTCTATTGACCTGTGTCTTTAATGTTGCTCTTTACACAACACCTGACCACTTCCCCTTCTTAGTCCATGCTCAGTGGAGTGATGGAGGATGTTGACACTCTTTCTACCCCTGGGCTATAGCTATATGTTGATCAGCGGCCACATAATTACAGGTCTTCTGTGTTTATTGACAACTCCTTCATATTTGTCTCACTGCTGAAGTTCTTGTGGATGTGTGCCGCAGGTGGCGGCCCCGTAGGTGGCAGGGAGCAGGAAGCCGTCTGGTCCTTGTGCACATGTATCGGACACAGCATGTTTTTCCCCTCTGGAGGCGAGGTATCCTGTGAGTGTGTGTGTGCCTTTGCATGTCGCCGAAAAGCACTGGGGCGGCTGACTTCCAGGAACCCCCACAGCAACAACAGGCTCACTCTGCTTCCTGCTTTACACACCGTTATCACAGCGCACACACACACGCAGCACTGGGCCATTCTCTTTGCCCCGCGCAGGTTTCCTCAGAGCCGATCCCAGCGCCTCCGGCTGTCAAGATGTTTCACTGTGATTGTCATGAGAGAAGTCGCTCCCAGAGAATGGACCACAAATAGGCGCAGACAGACAACCTCCGATAACCTTACAGTTTGTGCGCTTGTTCACTTCTATTAAGCAGGGCTCAGGGTAATTGTTGGTCAGCTCAGGACAGGCCACTGTGGTTTTTGTGCCAGTCCCAAGTGCAGATAAATTAAAGGGTGGTGCCAGAAAGATAGTTTAATATATGCCTGAAATACACTTGCAAATCACAGCATGTTAACGGTGGAATGACAAGCTGTGGCTGTGTAGGAAAACCATAAGTGTAGATGCAGTGCCTACTAGTACTTTCAGTGAAATGTTTAAATGTCTTTTCTATGAAATAAAGCTAAAGACCTCCACACTAAAGTGACTTACTCATATTTGAAATAGAGCAGCTTAAAATCTTCTTGTATATTACAGACTGCAGCAAAGTCTGTGTTTTCTTGTATAAATCTCCCTCTGACCTCTCTCACATCTGAATGTGAGCTACACACACCTTGTCTTGATCTCTCTTTATCTATTCAGCACATATATATCCATAGCCAGCTGCCTTTGTGCATGTCCCATAAAGGGAACCAGAGTGCAAATGGAGTCCTCATTTTGTGCAGGTGAGAGTGCTGCAGCAGACTGTGTGTCCATATTCCCTCTGTGAGCACAATGCAAAAGCTACGATCGTGCAAAAGACAGAGGTGCACAGAGGCACAGATCAAAGAACGTAATGCACAATGGCAAAGTTACTAACAATTGCCGTTAATGGCATCATCTTCCCCCACAGAGCGCACTGGGAACTATCCCAGCTGTGTGGATAGTGCTCTCTCTGTTCTCAGAGCATTAGACAGGAGACACAGAAGGAAGTGTTCCTCAGGGTAGATATGATCGTAATCATTAGGGTCAGGGAAGATAAGCAAAATGCAGTCTGAAATTGCACACCGAAAAAAATCATAGGTAAAATCAGGTAGTGCTTGTCAAGAAAAATCTCAAGAAATATAAAAAAAAATAGATGAAACAAAACTGATTGAGCTATTGAGCAATCCTATGAAAAACAAGTGATGCACTGATTATTCCGAAACCTATTTTATCACAGGTTCACCAGTGACCAAGCCCTGCTGCTATTGGCATAATGCCTTAAACTTATAATTCAGTTATATGGGATAGCTTCATTCTTCATGTTATCATTTGTCACTGGTCCTTGGGCCTTTGTATAAAGGTCTACAGGTATGTGTATGAGACTGCAGATTCATAAACCTTTGTCTACAGCCTTGCATTTACTCATGTTTGGTTTGTGTATAATAATGATAGACATGACAGATGAAAACAACATGAGGAGTGGTCATCTGTGTCAAGCTCTTCAAATGTGCTTAGTGCATGTGTAGCAAGAATAGTGTGCCATATATAATGACAAAAACAAAACAAACAAAAAATCATCAATTTACCAACAGGAAAAACACAACAGATATGAAATGAGTTTCCTGGATAAATTATTTATTCCCAAAAATATGTTGGAAAAAGCAGCAGCTTCTTGTCCTAATGACCACCACATGGCAGACTCCGGCCCATGTCCTTGGACTGGAGTGAGATGTTTATGAGATGTTATGAACAGGCGATGGTGCATGACTTGTTCAGCTGAGCAGCTCGAGTGGACCAGTTGTTATTAGTGTAGCTTCTGCCTCATGCTCTCCCTGGCTCTGCTCCGAGATCACTTCCAGATGGCAGGGGAAAATCTTCAGCCTCTAGCTGACTGCGGCTGGGCCGACTGCACTGTTCAGAAGAGAGACGGAGAGGGCAGAAGTGTGGGGGTGTGGGCAGAGACATGCATCACAAAGGCCTACTTCTGTCCATACACTATCACACAGACTGCTGGTTCTTGTCCATGGCACTCTGTCTACTGATTGTGGAGGGCAGAGAAGAAGCTAAAGAAAAGACCTAAGGCATACATTTTACAATTTGTCTGTTAATGGATCAGTGGAGACAAATTGTCTGTAAAAAGTATATTGTTTTAATTCAATTTAACCACTTTTAGTTCAGGAATAAATGCTGTCTTAGTTTGTGTAAATCCAAACAAGAATATCAATTTATTTCATTCTGCAAGGTACCAAATATTTGTAGCCTACAGAAACCTCAAACTGATTTTTCAATTTTAATGTTTTTGTTTGTGTTTTTGTTTGTTTTTGAGCCGTTTGTTTATAAAAGCCATACAACTCCTTTAACAAATACAAGTGTAAGCTTATGTTGGACCTTGGCATTGGTGCAGCCATAGTAACAAATCACAACAGTAAATACGTTTGGTCTTGGCTTGACCCTGTAGTACATTTTCCAACCTGTTTTAGGACAAACAGATGCGTTCTCTGCCCCCTTCTCCGGGTGCGCGCTCTAGGCCACGCCCCCCGCCACCTGGCTCCGCTGCGCACCGCCGACTGGAGGCAGAGCGCAGTGACTCCTCTGCACAGCACCCACTGACTCCTCTCCACAGCACCCACAGCCACGGGACACGGACCACCGCCTCGTTCGCCGTTTGTTTCGTGAATTAAACTCACCAGAACAGAGCACTATTTTAATTGCGCTGGACCGGTTGGACAAAGACGACTAGACTAGACTGCATCATTCCTCTGCATCTCTTTCGCTCCTCTTTTGCTCCCATCCCGAATGTCCCTGTGACTGACCACTACTCATTTGTGCGCGCATTCTTGTACGTCTTGTTTTCCTGATTGTTCCAAGAGCGCAGAGCTGGGAGACAGTGTTCGGACTCTGGTTCGCGCTCCCGGGAATCAGAGAAGGGGACCGAGCGTGGACTCTCACCCGGACTGGAAATTATTAAGCCCCCTCACATCAGCGTGCCGCATGGTGGGAATTTCTACCTCCTTGCAGTGTAAGTACTCTCTGCCTTTATCTCTCATCTTTTTTTAAGTTACGCATAGGCTACCTGTAAGTAATTGTTGTTACAAAGGTGAAACGATGGCTGTATGGCTTGTTTTGTCAACAGAAGTTTTACGCAGCAGCGGGCTCTCAATTGTCATTTTCATCTGTGATACTGGAGCATCCTAGCGCATATTACACATTCATTTCTCATAAAGAAAGAGTGTGTTAAGTCCGTCCAGAAAATAATCAGACGGAATTACAAAAAAAGTGTTCCACTAAATAAACAAATCATTAATGATCACATTAAATATAATAGTTCAATGATAGTTTATTCCTACATAGATGAGTTCAGTTTTGTAGTTTTGTTTTTGTTTGTTTTTCTCCTTGGAATGAAAATAACCTGTCTTCACTATGTCTCAGATCAGACGTGGCTTCTATTTCTTCTCATTTCTTCTTAATTTCAGCTCTGGAGAGAGTTTTGAAATTTTTAAGTTTTCCAGTTGGTAATTTGAAAACATCCCTCAGAGCTGTCACTATCAGTCTTGTGGAGTTTCAATCAAAATCTTGATATTAAGATTGCGAAGTCGTTAACAGATTCTGGACATGGTTTTATTAGGAGTTTGAGACATATTTACACCGTAGAAAGTCCCAGAACTCAGTGCCTCAGAGGTGAAAATGTTACCTTCTTTTATTGCTGTTATTTGTGCTTATGAGGTTGCATTATCTTGGCCGCTGGTGTGCCTCTGCTTTCATTTCACCATACCTTACTGCAGTGGTCATGGAGCTTAAATTGGCCACATTCTTTATCGTGGCATGCCTTATATTTCCTCGCCTTAGCCACCGGGACTTCCATTTAAGTTGAGTGAAAAGACTATTACCTGGTGTGTGTGTGTTTGGGGAGATAAAGGCGCCATGGACACACAGTGGACTAAATGAAAGGTAAACAAGGCAGATGATGAAGTGAATGAATCAAAATGCTGTGTGCGAGTTATCATTGCCATTACATTGTATGTGTGTGTGGGGCTATTGTGCTGTGGTCCAGGCTCTGCAGCATCCTCAGCCCATCTGTGGACCCTATTACCTCACACCTGTTCCCTCCCTGTCCCAGAGAGAGAGGGGTCAAACGCATTATGCCACGCACACAATCTAAAATATTGGTTGGCTTTTATTTCTACGTTAACTGTTCTTGAGATTCAATGTTAATAAAATCATCTTGAAGGGAAAAACAGTAATTTCCCATAAAGCTTGTGGGCCATTGCCAACTGCTTCATGACACAGATGTTTGGATGGTTTCCATATTTGTACAGTGAGTAAGTGATGCAGAGTCAACATGCTAGTATTTGAGTCTTTCTCTTGAATAGCTATGCAATATGGTTTGCAGCACTATTACATCCTTAATAAATTTGTTAAAATGCACTTGAGAGGTATTGCAGTATTTACAAATATTTGTAGACCACGATAACAAATTTTGAAGTACAATTTATAGAAGAAAATATAGATGATAAATGATAACACTGAAACACGTTTAGGTCACTGACACAAAATAATACAGTAGATTTATACCTCAAAAATATTCAAAATGTACAATATGGTTAAAAAAAAACATGAGTTGCAATAAATAAATCACAGATTGAAATACTTAATACTCAGTTTGAATCTGTAATGAGTCATAGAAGTTATTAATTCAACCCTTTACAGCTTAAATCTGATCATATTGGTTAAAAATAACAAAAAAAATTCCCAGAAGTGCAAAGAAAATGTACACACAATAAATATTGATGAAAAATATATTGTTCCTACTATCATACATTGAAAGCAGATATAGTAATTATCGTGACAGGCCTAAATATTTGTTATGCAATTTATGTTCACAGCAATAAAAATGATTCCCTACCAGACAGACATTTTTTCTGAATTATAACAAAACTATAATGTGTACGAATTGACATAGTGCATGTTAAAAGCTGGCTTACCTCTCCTTTAAGCTGTTCTTCCTTCTCGCCTGTTACAAGTCCCTGTGTGAATAATATATGAAGTGTGAGCGCTCATAGCCGTACACAGTGTGCCCTCTCAGATCGATCGACCCATTGATGGTTATCAGCGAGAGGGCAGTTCTCTTCTGCGCTTATTGAATTTCATCACCCATGAAAGAGCAGCAGCGGCAGTACAAAGCCCAGGCAGGTAGTGTCCGCCGCGAGGAAGGGTCCAGCTCTTTGTTTTATTGTGCTTGTGAGCTGGCCTTTACTGGTCCTTATTTAATGTCAAAGTCAACTGTGAGCACTACAAACTGATTTTATTGGTGTGTTTTTACTCCAGATAACATGAAAGCTATACTGCAGATGCCAGCAGGGAGCAGTCTGGTGGGTACAAGGATTTGAACCAGAAGTTGCAATGCAGCCAAGGGGGATACAGCTACAACAGTTTTATTAGCAAAGTCCCATATCTGGATAAATAAAAGTGATTGTATATATGAGGATATCCAGCTAAAGATGTTGTAAAGTAATTAAAAGCACACAGTAGTCTATATGGTAAAAATGTATAGTAGACGCACCAGAGTAGGTCATATTTTAAGACCACACTTGTCACTATGGAATTTTAAAAGTCAGTAGCAAATGTTGTATTATAATGGAGCTTATTTTTTCAAACATGAATTTACACCCATTATGTTTTGAGGGAAATGTAGGGCTATTCAAAACAATTGTAATTCTAAACCTGCACGCATCAAAAGTATAAAATAGAGGATTTTATATTGCCGTAATAATCATGTATGAACAAGACACTTTAGTATTATGTCAGGCACCATTCACTTCTCCCTTATACACTATTACCAGTATTGCCATTGAAAGGCAGACTTATCACGATAACTCATTTTGAAGTACGATATATTGCTGGAGATGATAAATGGTAATATTGGGACTAATGTATGTCACTGACACAGCAACCGAAGAACAGCTTTAAACTACAAAAACTACTATAAATCTACAATATTGTTAAAATCATGAGCTGCTGTAAATAAAATAGCAGAATGAAACACTTTAGTACTTAGTGTGCATCTGTAATGAGTCACAGAATTTATTAATTTAACCTTTTACAGCTTAAATCTGAATGTATAGCTAAAACATCACCAAAAATCTCCGAGTGGTGCAACGAAAAAAGTATAGATAATATTGAAGTCGATATTGTAATTATTGTGACAGCTATAAAAACCTGCATCTCATTCCTTATGCAGACGATGCCTATGTCATTAATTAGAGAGACATCTGTGCAGGTTATCAGTTGTGGCTGCTGATTGGATCACACAGTTCAACATATGAGCCGCAAACACAGACAGGAGCCTTCGAATCGTCTGCAGTGTGCACAGACCCGGATTGAGTCACTAATTAACTTTCTCCCAGTGTATCTTCCATCCGCAGACAGACAAGCATCCCTCTCTCTCTCTCTCTCCTCCACTGTTCCTACGTGTGACGTGAATGCCCTGCTCAATGTTTATTTTCCTGCCTCCATCTGGACTGGGTTGATATTGTAATCGCACTAATGCACATTGCGTTTCACTCACACACACGCTTACACACACATTAGCACGCACACGCTAACACACACGAGCCGCCTTTTCTTATTCCAAAAGATAAGGCGTTTGGATGAGATTGGGGGCTGTGAATGCGCCAAGGGAGAGAGAGAGTTCACATGTAGGTGTCTGCACAGAAGCACAAAGGGACAGGCACACAGGTTTATTATAAGGAAAAGTCTGGGCTCACTGTTGGAAAGGTAAAAGTATTGGAAAGGTGATTTTAAAGATGGCATTGGTGATAATAAGAAAGGCAAAAGAAGATAGTGACTCACATTCAAAGATTACACTGTGATGTGTATTTGGGTGGTGCATAAAAGTGAAACTGTTTTTGTAGTACTGTAGATTGGTCCATTTTGAGGCATTGTTGGAAGAATAGAATTAACACTTCTGTTCACTGTATCCATTTTAATAACCAGGGCAATATTGCCAATAAAACATCATTCTTACATACTATACAACCCTTGCATTTACATTTTCATTAGGAGTCTGTGATCATTGGTGGATTAAATCTGAGGATGCACTATGAAACTATGAAACAATGTTTTTCAGAGAAATAGCAATTAGATATTGTTCCAAAATGAAACTTTAGTTTATGTCGTAGTTAGGAAAAAGGGTGAAATTCCTCTCTGAAAAGGCGGGGCCTTTCAGTTCTGCAGTTTTGAACAGGAAGTCAATTGTCCCATTTCTATTATCAGGCCATTGTAGATCAATATTGTGGTTTACAATGAAGAAAAAATTATGATGTAATTATGTTTTTGTTCAATATTAAATACCAGGAACAGAACATAATATGTCTACTGTAAAGATGTATTGATATTACCAAGTGGAAAAGCAGGATTCTAGTCCCACCACACCGCTGTGTGGAGAGTTCAATTGTCAAACATATGAGAAGTTGTGGACACTGATCTGTCAGGACCAGCAGCTTTTGTTTGGTGATTCCAGAGGCACTGCACACAGCTGTGATTGATGGGGCGTACGAGCGGTGAAACGGCGCGATTAGGAGCCCCTTTCTCCTTAGTTCACTGGAGGACAATTGTTGAAGAATGGAGAGGCTGGTGTAGCCGGGAGTCCATAAAACCCTGACCGTAAAAAAGTCTTTTTTTGTCCAAGAACAGAGGACAGGTTTAAAGGAACCAACAGGCAGAAAATCAGACAAATTGATAGAGACAAAAGCATAAGTGAGCACATTATACCTATACATGTCATGCTTTTGTGGTTCAATAAAACCTGCACCGATCATCCATAACATTATGACCATTATCTCATCATCATGGCACCTGTTAGTGGCGTTATACATCTCCAAAACTGCAGCACTGGTGGGGTGTCCTCTGTCTGTCAAAAAAGCTCCAAAGAAGGAACAAGTCTAGTCTTTGTGCTCCTCAATATGTGACTCACTGCTCAGTTCTTTCTCATTAATTTTGATGTATGGATCGGGACGTGTG